AGATCTGCAAGAGTAACCGATTTTTCGTCGATTCCAGCATTTGGTGCAAGCTCCCCGGGTCGACATGGGGCTTCCGGAAAGAACACAGTGACACTTTGTTTGGACAAACTATCAAGTCCCGGTGGTGGCTGAGAGCCTGGGCGAGGGCTCTGCGGGGCTTGGATACCAGTCATCTTTTCTATCCAATGCCTTCGAAGTTCCTCAAAATCGTTGGTGAAACCGGACGGGACCATCCCTGCCTGTCGAGTAGTCAAGTACTGCTTCATTGCGTGCCATCGTCTCATAAGGTTGGAAGCATCCTGATCCGGCAAGCCACCATCACCGAACAAAATACCGGTCACACGGTGGAACTCTTCGAATTTCACATCGATATCCGGATCTCCTGCCACTACGGTGATGACTGCCTTTACTTTTCCCCGGCTCTCGGCCTCGAACACCATATTTTTTTGATCGATGTCTAGATTGGGGTTCGGTGCAGGGACGATCACTGCATCCCATTCTTCGCGGATATTGACTCCCGATCTCTCTTTACATCCGAGAACAAGCATGTTGAACCAACTTCCCATCTTCCCAGAGCCCCGAAGCCGATCTTTTAAACCCGGAATCATGTGCCACACCGGGGCAAGGCAAATAGGTGGTAGAACGTCGTAGTTGTAATAGCTCATACTGTGAAGTGCACAATAGAGCCCGCCGAAAAGTGTGACGGCACCATCTGGCCAAGATCCCATATCAGACACAGGATTTTGAGCGGACGCTGTTCCGACGAGGATGGCAAAGACCATAGCGCTTATGCATTCATTGCTTACACAAAAACACAACTGCCTCAATGCCCAAGATGCAAAGCTCGGCTGACCGCCAGAACGCGCCAAGAATCGAAGAATGTGATGCGGTCCCATAGCGAAACCCGATGACCTGTAAGCCAGCTATGTCAAAATGTGTTAGCGTGAGCCACATTAGTATCTGGGAACATCGATCTAACCGGCTTACACCCCTATGATGGGATAGCTATATTCCAGGGAATCTGCGACTCGTTTGATGCAAACGTTGAATACAATGGATCCTAACTACCGTAATCCTCGGAGAATACGCCCTCTATCTTCACCGATCGGGACCACTTATAGCCACGCGTGATAGCTTTCCAGAGGTCGATGTGGTGATCTAAATAGAACTCAGAAGATCACGGTTGAATGGAAATGGATGCAAGCAAATGGGAATCTAGGAGCACGAGGGAGCTTTATTATGGTGCTCCTTCGAACGAAATGTTTTAGTGTGCCCCCCTGAAAGGGTGCCCACAATAGGTTGGAGCTTGGACGATCACCACAATAGCCAGCTCAGACTGTCTGCGTGTCTGACTACGTTAGTGGACGGACTTGTGCTCCTATGACTGGAGAGCGTGAACCCCCTGTCCCTGATGAACCTGCCAACGAAGGCTGCTTGCGAGACAGAACAACGCACTCACAATGGGGAAGTTTTGCTAAGACGGTCGTACAACAGTGGAACACCTTGATGCTTGTACTAGTACAGTACCGTAAAAACTTTTGAGATTCGCCGTCGCCCCCCCCCCCACCACGCTAATCCGTTGACTCGATGATAGAAGCTCTGAATAAGGATTAATGCCTTCCTGGCACGGTATAGCCTGAGCCCCTTGGCTGTGTTGGACCTCATTAACTGGTTTTCGCAACCCCGTTAACTTGCCGAAATAAACCTAACGTAGACCAATCCGCAATTCACAGGGATCTCCAGAGACGCCGAATCGCAAGAGTTTTTACGGTACTCGAGTACGGTACCGATACTCGAGCACATACTTGTACCCCGTCCAAAACACCGCTCCTGATTGTCTGAATCCAAGTGATCATCGCCTCCCGTAAGAGTACTGTATTTACGAGTACTGTACTTGTACGAGCCAACCAGCGGCTAGGTCGTGTATTTTGGTGTTCCGTGTAGGTTGGTTCAATAACTTGACTACGGTATTATCCCTGTTCGCCGACCCGGCCCCATAGTTGGACAGTCCTATCACCATGGCAACAGCACTAAATTAACCTCTCCCAATGCGCAATATCGGCACTCGAGTACCGGTAGTGATTGGTGGCTACAGCCCGTAAGTTTTGATCATTTTACTAGCAGAGGGTACTTGTATTCGTCTAGCGGGGGGTGACGGTGTGATTTGGGTATGGTTGCAACGAATTGAGTATCGTTGCTACCCAATTCACCCATTCACCCTGTACTACACGTAGCGTGACACTGTTACTAACTGCTACTAATAAACATTCTGTACAAAACTTACAGTCTCTACCTCCGTACAGTCTTGTGAACTCCTAAATAAGCCTGGAGGGTTGTTGACATGAAGATTTTCTGTTTTCTCACCTTGTTTTTGTTTTTCACCAATGAGCATCCATTCGTCAATACAACAGCCAGCAGGATCATTATGCCAAGGGCCACGAGAATTTGAAACTGCCAGTCAACTGAGAGTGAGCTCGCATAGACTACTGTAACAAATGTGGGAAGTCCGAAGAGCTCGTTCTCGCTCTTCTTGCAAAGGTAGTAAGTAGTTCAAGTTGGATATGCCTCATATAGGTCACGAGAAGGGCAAAAAGAAAAAGGACCTTTCCTCAAATGGACTAGTAGATTATTTGCTTCCGATGCCCATATATGGCAGTTGGAGGGTGAACGTAGCTTCAGCAGTATAGATAGTAGTAAAACAACAGAAGAAAGTACCGTAAGCAGTTGCCACACTGAGCCCAGCCAAAATTTAGGCTAAGCGTAGTTCAAGTGACGACCCTCTTAGCCAATCCTCCCTAATACCCGTACCTCACAGACTACTCGATGTAATCTTGCCAAGTATGATATATCGTCCTTAAAATGATTCTATTATCTGCCCCGGCCCACCGAGAAAGCACTTGCATAATCTGCGACCCGGGACGACGTCTTAGCGGCGCACCCTCCACACCGCTGAGCAGTTTCACCACCCGAAAGTTCAACAATTTCACAAGCTTCGGGCCGAAAAATCTGCCGATATTCGACAACCGTTCCGTATCATTAGGGGTTCGATAGTGAATACGCCGCTTTATCAGGAGCGCAAGAAGTTGGACAGCGATTTCAAGAGAGGTTATATACCCAAAAAAAGGAAAGGCTGCAAGAAGAGAGGTATAAGGTTTTTAATACCAGCGCCACCCTCGAGATCGAATCAACTTGTCTATTGGGGCGCTCAGACGGGCTCAGGGAGGGCCTTGTTCTTCAATCCTGGCTTCCCTGCCTCTCTGAGTGAAATCAGTGAAATCCCATCAAACCGGAGATGTGTTTTCTCCCCCCTCCCCATAACACCAGTGGCGAGACGAGGCATCCAGAAATGTGTTGGGAGCAATTGTTTGGTTAACGTGCTCCACGACATAGAGAGCTATTCGAGCAGGGGAGTTAATCCGTGACCAAACTGCCATGAATATTCCTTCTGGCTACAAGTAATAAACCTCTTTACCTGAGCACCGTACGGTACAAAGGGGTCGGCATAAAATCTTTGATTAATGCTTCTGTTGGGCGAAACCCAATCATATCACAACTTTCATGCTTCAGGTACTTACTTCTAGGTATTAGGGCATAGGGTTGACAATATTAGCGCGGTGGAAACGAGATAGACAAATACAGTCACACGACTCGGAATTTAGTCAGCATTGTAAAATAAGTGATATTCTAGAGTATGATATGAAATGAGAATGCTTTCTCTTCATATATTCACTGTTCCTACTTCCCTTTATCCAAAGTCTATTTCCCATCCTCTCACAGCCAACATTCATAATCATAATCAGAAGTAAAACAATTTTCAAAAAACCATTAGCTTCCGAGTGCCAAGTCCCCGTCTTCAGAACCCTAACCCATCCCACTACCTAAATTCTTTTTACTCTATTTTTCTCACCGTTCACTCTGTTCACCCAAATCCCAACATTCTCCCCTCTCTCATCTACTCACCATCAGGACACCCTTCTCCTATCACTGCAGCTGCAATTATCATCACTGCATCCCTCGCCCATCCGTAAGTTACCATCCACCTCCCCCCCCCAAACACTCCTCTTCCAACACCCAATATCGTCCCCCTGCATAAAAAAAAAAAAAAAACCGATAAGCAATTACATGATGAGCAGTTTTATACTCCCAAGAAAAAAAAATAGGAAGAGCCGTATGAATCCTCCTCACAACAAAACGCTCTCGAGTACTCCATTTACGGGGGAAAGGGTGGCGGTGTTGAGGATTGTGCTTAGACCATTGGGTTCTGATGTTTTATCCCATTTAATTACTCACGCTCTGCTACTGTTGTTTTTTTTTTTTTTTGAAACATTTGCTTCATGGGGGTTGACTTAAGTTTAAGATTAGAAACTTTCGAGATTTGTTCTGTTTTGCTATTATTACTTTACCACATATGCAATTCCACTGGATTTGCAGTGGCGGAAGGTTGGATCGAGACTCATTGCGTGTCCACGTGGCTTGCGCCATCGAACTTCCCGCTCTGGTCCGAACTCTTGATCGGTGACGCTAAGGTATCATATCATGGCGCTCGGCACGACTATGGCCCGCTGCTGCGTCAACACCATTTTTAAATCACCACACACCGCCTTCCAACCCGATTGGTGGCGGAAATACCGGTAGCAAGGAACAAAATGGATTTGGAGACTGAAGCGTGGTACCGGTACGCCGGAAGGGTGTGCAGTGCTAGTAGTCAAGGCTCCATGTCCCTTAAGCTGGTAGCCAAACACGCCTCGCTGAAGTGGGCTAGATCGTCCTCATAACACCAGAAACCCTCCCCTCCGTGGAAGGTTAGACATATCACTTACAGGCCGCACCGCATAATTTTAATGACCGGGTGGTTGGAAATCGAGCCTATTAGCGTTGCTACACTTTGACCTCACCGTAAGGTACTCTATATTGTCCCAGTCGTACCCAAACACCTACGATATCCGATCTGTGTCGATTTTTCCCGCCACTTGCAAACCACGCTGATGGACAGAGAATAGAAATAGAAAACAGCAACTTATATTCCTGGTCTAATGCAATCCGTGGCCAAGAACCAAGCTAGCAACAGACGGGGAAATGAGCGTATGTAGAGAAAAAGTTGAAGAAACGTAGCAAAATTAATAACACCATTCCCAAACGCCCACATTTTTCATTCCCTCCCACCCCGTATGGTAGCCAACCTCCCTCACCGACCGATCTGCTCATTCAGTAGACCATCACTCACAATTGCACTACTGGAACTAACCACCACCACCTCCACAGCAAACCCATATCATCACTCAATTTCATACATACCATACCATATCCCGCACTCGCAAGCAAAATTCTCAATGAAAACGAAAAGCAAGACGCAAGACACAAAACAAAACAACAGACGTAAAAACCTAATGAGAATTTTTGAAGAAAAAAGCTAAACACTATAAAGAGCGACTCCAACCCTGAAAAACGCACAGGCAAGAGGAAGGTTGGGAAAAAAAAAGTTTGAACCCATAAACCAGATATTACGGCTCCTATCGTAAGGCCTTTGAAACCGTTTTTTTTTTCCCTTTCTTTCCTCCCCGCGCTTCAAGATGCATAGAAAGACAGGACAGAGACAAGAAAATACAAGGTAAGTTTTAGTTAGTTCCGGGAAAGACGAGAAGGGAAAGGAAAAGCAGAATGTATAAAGTAGAAAGTAGAAAGAGCCTGGACATGCTATCATACTGATGAGACAAGAAACAAAACGACAACGAGCCGAAAAAAAGAAAGAAAAGAAAAGAAAAATAGGAATAAGTTTTTTTTCACTGTTTCACCATCTCTCCTTCAATCCCCCTCCTATCCTCCCATCCCTAACTCCCCTTTTTATCGCGCCATTGCAAGAAGATTGAACAAAAAAAAAAAAGAAAGCCCAGCAAATAATAATGTTTGCTCGTGACAAAGCTCCAGAGTCCAAAATGTATGGAAAAAGAAAACACCCCGACAAGAAAAATAAAAATGAAGAGAAAAGGGAAAAGGAAACGAAAAGGCCATGAATAGCTCAGTTACCAACTACCTTGCGAAACCGCCTTGGCCAGGTTGCTGCTGGCCGTATTGTGGTTGCCCGTAGGGTTGACGGCCAAAATATTGTTGTTGATACTGCTGCGATTGCGGCGGTTGCTGGGGGTATCCAAAACCTGCCTGTTGCTGTTGTAAAGGCAAGTAGGGTGCGCCACCATATTGAGTAAATCCGGGACTCTGGCTTCCCATGCCCCTGGGAGATGAGCGCTGGCTAGACTGTTGTTGTTGTTGTTGCTGTTTTTGCTGTTGTTTTTGCTGCTGTCTCTGAGCAATGGCTTGCTGGACAGTAGCACTATCGGAGCTACCGCCATGCGTCCACGATTCCCTCATTTTGCGCTTCTCTAGTTCTCTAGCCTCAATTGCTCCCAGAAGCCCCGCTCGGTGAGGCAGCTGCTTGTGTTTCGCATTATCAATATATAACAATGTTGAGCCCGTTTGCTTTGCAACATATTCCTGTTCTCGTGCGGAGAGATGGTTTGATATATCCACAGCGCCAGAGGCCAATCCATTTGAGGCGAATGCCGCCTCTCCGCCGCGAGAAGCAGGTCGAGGAAGGTGCTCAGCAGAAGGATTGCGGCCGCTTGTTGGTGAAGTGCCCGAAGTCTTCCGCTGATGGACATATCTGCTTCTTGACTGGTGTTGGGCGGCAGCGGCTGCCGCTTTTTCGGCAACATATTGCTCTGCATTGTCTCTCCTGTCTGGGCTTCGCCCACCCCCAACTTGAGCCATTCCAGGCTGCCACACTACGCTCCTGCGCTTCGACTCTCCACTCTCTGACCCATGTGACCCCGCCCTCTCATGCACAGAATCGGGGGACGGTCGATTCCAAGACTCTCGTCTCTCCTCACTAGCACCTGAAGATCTTGAAGGCGCACGATTCTGGCCCCAAAGGTCTCCGCTAAGGCCCATTGACTGACGTCGAGGGTCACCACCTATTAAAGTTCCATGGAGTGAATGGGGGCCTTGCTCATCCTGGTCTATAATCTGCGCGTTTCCCCTGCTGACACCCCTGGATTCGGCGGAGAGAGTACGTCCGTGATTGATCGTCGTTCCAAAGTCAACCTTGGGTATCTCAGGGGAGTCTTGGATTTGGCCAGAGGTGCTAGGACGATAGCGGGCATCTCCAACCACAACCTCTGGCTCCGATGCCCCCCCAACTACCTTCATAACTCCAGCCCTCGGCATGTCAGCGTCACGCTTCGGTGGTTCCTCGCGTGTAGTATGAATACTAGAATAATCTGGCTCATCATCATCTTCATATTCACTTCCGCTGTCAGTAAGCATTCGCTGCATCCGTTGAGCCCGTTTTCGATCAAGGGTATCTTCATCGCCCGTCCCATGGTCCGTTCCGATCCTATTCAAGGCTTCATCGCTTATCATGTGCTGGGCAAGACTTGCGAGTTCTGCACTAGTGGGGGAATCGTCGGCGGCTGCGGAAAACTGTTCAGGTGGAGGTTTTGTGCCGACGTTTGTCTGAATGCCTGGGACCGTTGGATGGTTAATTCGTTTGAACAGGGCGTTTGCAGGGATTGGTGGCGGCGGCTGGGGATCCGAACCTGCCGTGATTTCACGCCCGCTAGTAAGTTGGACGGGTGTCGGCACATCTGTGTCTTGCCATGAAAACCTTGGAGGCTTGGCCTCCTCCACTCTAAGGCTCTCGGCTCTACTGAGAGGGGGAGGGTTCATGGATTGTACGGACCCAACAGGATGTTTATGGACGGGTGGTGGTGGTGGCCTGTTAGCATAACCTTCTTCATAGGCTTCTTTCCTGTCATTGGTTGGCGGTGGGCCAGCAAGCAGAACTTGTGAATATTGTGGAGCAAATCCTGGGGGAGGTTCGATTAGAGATTGGTATGGAAGGTAACTCTGAGCCGTGATTTGGGACTGCTGACTGGGTAAAAGCGGGGGTGGGGGAGGAGGATACATTGCGCTTATTTGTTTCGATGTTGGGGCAGACCCATTTGACATTAAGGATGGAGGGAATGCTGATGGTGGTAGAGCTGGGTCCGCTCCAGTGGTATTGCCACTCCTTAGAGGCATCCCATCAAACAAGTTACTCTCGGTGGAACGTCTGGGTAGATCCTGATCTTGATGAACACCCAATCCTACCTGCAAGTCATGTGACGGCCCTTGCGACCTCATTTGTGGTAACATGTGCGGAGGTTTTGAGCTTGGGGAATGCATCATTATGGGGGTAGCCGGTACTAGGTCTGGCGACGGCTGGCTGGTCTGCTGTTGAAGGCGACGAGCAGAGGGATCAATAGCACCCTGGAATAAACTATCATCGGAGGAGGAATCACTTCTCCCAGTAGGTAGTGCTTGGTCGTAGCCTTCTTGTCTCTCAGCCATGGATCCTAAAGACGGAGGACCTCGCTGTTGTCTCTGGTATTCCAAATAACCTGTGGATTCGGAAGTAGAGCGCTGATGATAAACCGCGGAAGTTAAGGGAGGAGTGCCCATAGGGACATGCTGGGGAGGAATCTGTGATGCGGGTATAGGCAACGAAGATGACGATCCCGAAGAGTCATCCCGGAATGTCACACCCGGGAATCTCTGCCCAGCCGGAAGACTGGTTCTTGGTCTTGCACGAGTCGCCCCATTCTTTATCTTTGCCGCTGTCAACTCCTTCAACTTCAGTCTCCACTCTGATTCTGAATTGATCGATCCACCTTCTGTCACGATCAGTCCCACAATATCCTCCACCTGTAAATATCCGTACTGTCGCTCCCTTGGCATAGCAAACATCAACCCCTTGGGATCGTCAACGCCTGCAATAAGTCTCCCCGGACGCCCATATAGCCCAAACACATCGAATGTGGGAAAGAGCCAGCGGAGCATTATCTCGAACCCACTAACAGCGGGGTGGGATTCGGGCATTACAAAGACGAACCCCTCACTAGTTGTTGGATGATCTGAATTTATTGTAATTTTTCCCTCAATCTTAACCAAAGTGGACTGCTCAATGAGCGGTTTTGATTGCGGGTAGATTGCATAGGCCGAGAAAGCGTCCGTGATGGTTGCTATCGGCTGTGATTTTTTGCTCTTCTTGTTCTCGTAGAACTTTATATCGCCTTTGAGAAACGGAACAGCATTATAAGCAGACTTGTTTGCCTTTTTCAGGATTGCCTTTTGCCTCTTGACGGATTTCTCGTCCGGCGGTGTGATAACAGCCCAACACCTCCTCCAAGGGGTTCCCGCTCCGAACCGAACCCGGGCCCAATCCTCATACTTGAATCTGGCCCTCTCCATTATGGTATTAATACTATTTAATGTCTTGCCCTTCCCCGCGATCAAAGCTCCGGTGTAAGCCTCCTGTAGGCAGGAGTGCTCAAACATGCATAGCCTGATCCCAGCCGTCCATTGTGTCAGGGAGTGGTGTGAGTTGAAATGGAAGAGGTATCGATTTCGACCAGCCGTAGAAATACTGAGAACGTTTGTGAGAGGAGGCACATCCGGCGACCTTGTCGGCAAAGTGTCAATCTATTGGGCGGAAAGTGGCTGGATCAGCAATAGGTCATGACTAAAGGGAATCAGGGGATAAATAGCCACCATCTTGATCGAAGCATCGGTAAGATTGAGGTATGTCGGCACAACTTCGCCATCGTGACCTGCGGCGTCGAGCTGAGTAGCGTCCCATAGCGATAGTACAGTTCCTACAAGCTGAGCAAAACACTCAACCCACGACCTGTCCTGGCTCGGTTTACCATCTAACCAAAGATCACACGAAGAATTAGTACACAGGCCACCCCCCCCCATCTGCTCCACCAAAGCGACAAGTGGGAAGGCACTGTAAGTACCTGGATTCAGATCATTCAACTTCAAAAAATATCCTTCAGTATAAATCTTCTTGGAATGACTGTTCAAAAAGGTGAATACAGGCTGCAGTTCGGGTAACGTGTCTTGCTCAACTTCGAGAAGCGGCGGCTGGTAAGGCTGAACGATACTCATCGGCCTAGAGCTTGGCCTCGAACTCCTTGATGGCGGCGGTTGTGGGGAATCCCGAGATAGACTCGCGGTGTGAGCTTCGGATATAGAGGTAAAGGTGTCACGGCTTATCTTTGTACCCTCTTTCCCGGTCGGTGATTTCGACGAGAGGAGGTTTCCAATGGACGCGGACCAAGCTGCGATTGCACGGCGGCTATTGTTAGCAAGACCATTTTTGGATCTCGTTGCTAGGGGTTGCTCGAGCGGCTTACACCGGGTGCGAGCCATCTTTGAACTCTACAACAGAGGCGTTTGCACGAAAGAAAAAAAAAAAGATATATATCCACACACACGCCCGCCCAAACCGATCCGTGAGCACAAACAGTTGACCCTTCTCAGAGAAGTTAGAGGCGAGTGCACCGTATGAGTTCCGAGTGAGAAGCGAGCGGAATGAAGACGCCAGCCTCCTGCAGTAGCGAGAGGAATGTCGGGTACGGTGGGGATAATTATGGGCGAAGGGAAAAGAAACAGGTAAACTAAAACACAAAAGAGAGAAAAAATATGAGAAGGATGAAGAACAGGGAAACGAAGGGTAATGTAAGGCTGAGTGGGGTGAGGTAGAGAATAGAATACTGAAACGAAGGAAGAGAGAAGGGAAGTAAGGGGAAGAAGATGAGAAAGAAGACAAGAAGAAGCAAGGCAAGACAACAAACGAAGGGTTCCCCTACTCAAGCGAATGGTGATTGGGGAGCGGCTCGATGATGATGAAACGAACAGTTAGAGCAGGATGGATGGATGGCGATGATCACTCGGATCGTTGGGCCCGGACGCAAGAGAACGGGTTGGTGTTTTCTTTTTCTTTTTTTTTTTACCTTTTCCTTTTCTTTTTTTACCCTTTCTATTTTCCCCCTCTGAGAGCAAAGACCTCCCTACATCGTAAGCTCTATTCCCCACTCACCTAGTCCATTGCCTTCTACGTATTGGGAGGGCGTGAGAATAGGCACGAGAGAGGGGATTTTTCCACGTATCGAGCCGTAGAATGCCGAGTGCACGGTGCCAAGTTGCGAGAGCACAAGCACCCACAATACCCATTCGTGCCATAGTATACTTGTATATACAAGTAATTGTATCTACTCGTACTGTAACCTACGGCACATTATCCCCCAGTTCACGCCTGACAATGCACACCTTTGCCCAACTTACTCCGCCCAAAGTATAACACCCATTTTCCATGCCAGTTATCACAAACTCATTCCAGCTATGATATGATACCCTTTTAAACTTGAGTTTCCCTTCCTCCTTGCTCTAGCCAGGGATCATATCCTATCATGTCAATCCACTCTACACCACTTGTGTATGACATTGTCACCTTGCTCTTCCTCCCCCCGCCCTCTGCCGTCTCGTTCCAGCTCACTACTCTCGCGGGGGGTCTACAAGTACCGGTATCATACCGCACTCGAGCACACGCTCTTCCCCAAGCACGTCAGCCCTCACAATCGGCGCCCAATCCTGTCCACGCAGAGCTGATAAAGACAGCGAAAATCTGTGTGAAGTATCTCCCCTCACCACCTATATCCGCAAAAACTCCACAAACATCAAGACATTAACAGCCCCTGGCTCGTATCTGAGGAAGCTAAAAGAGCCATACAATACAATCCACAAGTACCAGCTAGCCACAGTTGTCGAAAAACCAGACCCCGTTCTCCAAACCAGAACACCATTCGAGGCAGGTAGTTCTATTTCTGGTAATGTCTTTCTCGCTTGCGCCTTCCCGAGACAAATTATGTCATGCTTAATCCCCGCGAAAATCTCCGGCCGCCCCTTTCCCGCCTCTTCCACCGTATGCCACGAGCTGGAGAAGAAGAAAAACAAATAGAACGAAACGAGGAAAGCCTTCTCTCCTTCTCCCTTCTTATTCCCTTCGACAACTCAAGATGGCCAGCTCACGGTGGGCCGCTCATTGGGGTGATCCGGCAATGGATGAAGAAATGAGTAAATAAAATTTTATTTTGATTTGTAATGTGGTAAGAAAGGAGCAACTGCCTCTCTTTTTTAACGAGATCCCTGGAGCGGATAAAAAGTGAGCACAGCGCAAGTATACGTACTCGAGCTCACCTCGTGCAGAGAGGGGGAAAACGACTGTTGCTGCCCGGTCCGCTCGCTTCCGAGATCTCACTTTTTTTTCCCCATCAATGGGAGTAAGTTAACACCCATAACCTGGCGTCCAACCGTCATCATCAGAGGGAGCACGCGTCCATACGGATATGGCTCTGCAACATCAATTCATCAAAGAATTAACACTACACACAAGAAGGATCCCGGAGTCTTGTTTGGGAGAGCAAACCCCCAACATCAAGAACACGTCGTCCTCGGGTTTAAACCAACCCGGGGCCTTAGCACCATACTGTATCATACCAGTATCCATCCATTAGCAAAGTGGAGCTAGTGTTCGGCTGGACCGTTCAAGCTCCGTTAAGAGCACAAATATCCCCGGTTGCTTTGCGGATCAACGCACAGCCTAAATAGCTCTCCTGAGAAACCAGCACAAGTTTCAACGCTCACTCGTACAATAATTGGGGACCGGCATGGTACTCAAGTACGGTGCGAGTACGGCACAAGTACACTGCTCCCGTCAAACTCTAGCAGTAGGTGTTACGGGGATGCCCGTCTGACTCCGCCTGTGCTGTATAACAGCGGGCACAGCTGCTGGAGTAACTTACAACCGGTATTAACTTAGAAGCGCTTTCAATCAAAGCACTTCTCTCAGCTTGCTTGAACTCGTGAAGAAAAAGCCCCCGACCTCCCGTATCCTATTCGATTGAAAAGTCTGCTGAGCGCAACCAATACTGATTGCCCCCCGCTGCAATGGGACAGAGCAAGTATCCTATTTCGGCATCGGGGCTTACTGCTTTTGATGACCGACTGCTGGACGGACTTGCTCCGAACCAGTGAAGCGGGCTTGGCTGAGGCTGGACTACGAGAACTGTGCTCGTACAGATACGGTATCACGGCCACCTCCTTGTATCCGGACCATCTATCTACCGATTGGGTTGGAGTGCAGAACAGAATTGCACTTTTGATCCGGTGCTGTGGGTGCAGTTGAACAAAGTGGGGCAGAGAAATTATGACATCCTAAATTAAATATCTCCGTACCATAAGATCTCTTGGAATTCGCTATCAGATCATCAGGGGAGATCCTTGCATTTGCCCACGATATGTCCAAAACTTGGTTTGACAGGTTAATAGAATTGCGAAAAACTACCGGTATTGTAGTGCAGGAAATTGTGGAGGTGTGAGGGTGTAAAGGCCTCCCAGAACGGATCCTGAGTAGAGAGATCAAAGTTTTAAACAGTTAGAGCCTGGAGCCTCTTGAAAAACTGGCCGTGTTCACCCGCTCACCATCTAAGGGCTCTCGCAACACACCGGCAGTTAATGGGATCTATCACCTCCAGAGAACTTGGGCTGTATCGTGTTAGGGGGTGGGACAACTAGTCTTTCTTAGGAGCGTTTGTCTCTGACCTGGAGATAGACTAGCGAATCATAGTCGTGCCTAGTTGTCTCGGATATCTCCCAAAAGATACTTGTCCCAGGCAAGAAGAAATACGGCACCGGTATGGTACGGTATTCGAAAATACGAGTCGTGATTTGTCAGTGTGCACACACACGCACGGACTCTTCGCCATATATTGCTTTCGAATACCGGCACTTCTTGCCTTGGGACAGACGAATAGTACCGGCACGAGTACGACAAGTACTGTACACAATATCACGCCTCGCTGTCCCAGGTTTTGGGTGTTGTTCGGATTGGATTGGAATTTTAAGAACTTGGATCTCTGACCCCCAGCTCGCATGGAGAATATACTTGTATTAATTTTGGTGTCCTGGACCTTCACCCTACCCTAGCCTAAGGGCTAACATCACGGCTGTTCAAGGGCATGGTTGATATATGTTAATTAAATTTTACAACTTGGAGTGTGATCCATCAGGTACTGTACCTAATTCGGTGGGCCAAACCTTTCCTTCCTCTCTCCTCCCCTCTCCGACTCAAGGAGGACTGTCAAAAAAATTCGCTCCTAATGGGAGCTTTGCGGATGGTATGATACTTGTTGAATACCGTATTGGAAATCGTACACCGAGTAGGTATCATAACCGGTATGATACTATTTGACTTATTTGTTCAGATTTCGGATTACTCATCATGTCTCTTACACCATTTCGCTTCTTCCAGATGTTCCGTTGTCCCATACGTAAATACTAGTAGTAATTTACCGGTACAGTACTCGAGTACCGGTACAGTTTCTTCTCGGGATTTCAACAACCCGGGAAAGCGAGCGGGGGGGTGCGACCGCACAAGAAATTTCCAGGTTGCCTGTACGATGCTGTCCCCCCCTCTTTACTTTCTTTCTTCCCTTTTCTTCCTCTCCTCGCAAGCGGGAACCCGATGTTGTGCCCCCCTGCCTATGCAGTAATTCTCACGTTAACAAGCTGACCGTTCTCATCGGTTTGGCCCAAGTCACCGGCAGGACGACTGGCAGCGCGTTTGTATGACAAGTTATTGGAATAGCAAGTCGTACTTGCGTGTGTGAGCACGGTGCGGGTACCGGTATCGGTAGTAGGGGGGGTTTCCAAAGCCAAAAAGGTTGGAAAAACTGATACAGTATCATACTTGTATGATATTCTCTTTGGTTTACTTTTTCTGTTTCGTTGTAAGCCGGCGGCACACACAAGACAGCTTATCATGGTACGTACCGATATGTACTCGAGTACAGCACTCGTACAGCACGAGGCTGGCACAAAAATGGTGAGCAGAATAGCATGCAGCAAAGCAACCCAAATCACGGTACTTTTAGTGCTCACGGATTATTGAGGAATCGTTGACCACTTTAACATGCCATACCGGTACCGATATTGTAAAGTTGAAAGTTGGGGAACAATGCCAAACCATACCTCTCTTTTCTTTGATAATTCCTCAGCCAGTTTAGATAACGGGGGATTCCGGAGGGGGAAGAGGGGGGGGGAGGTTAGAAAAAAGTAAAATCCAGGGAATTATTTCACATACCGGTACGGTATTATGGTTCATGCTCATCCAAAATGGTGCTCCAGGCTGCAACTTTTCAATCGATCATATCTCACTTAAAAAAACAAAAACAAAAACCGCTTCTCTATATACCGTAAAATCTCGAAAAACCCGGATGGCTTGGCCGTAAGATGCAATGTGTGAGGCATCTTGGTGTTAGATGCCTAATTTGGCAATAAAGCAACCTCATGTACACAGCAAGCAGCAATCA